AATTTCGTAAATCGTTATATGCATGTTAACATTAATATAATGGGCACGTTTTTCTTAATTTTGTGATTAAGCATTTAACATGCATGTAAAAATAATATTTCTGTGTAATGAGTTTTAAACTGATTTACAAGGTAAATAATTATAATATTATATTATATTATTATTATTATTATTATTATTATTATTATTATATTATATTATTATTATAATTATTATTATAATTATAATAATTATAATTATTATATTGTAATTTATAAGGTGTATAAAAATTAAAAATATTTTATTTCGTAATAAAAACAAAAATAATTTGATCAAAATCGATGTCCCTGTATTATGAAATACTGACGTAAAATCTATTATAACTCATCAGAAAAACGTTGTTATTTAAGCTATTTAATATTAATTGGACTATTCGTTCAAGATACTGGAAATATTATATCATAGTAACATTTAACTTACTATGATAGTAATGGAAATATATTTTTCTAAAGAATGTAATTAAAAACTTCTTTAACACTTCATTGTAACAGACATACAAGTAGCTAAGAATTATCATTATGAAAGTTTTACTTTAAATATTTATAATATTAATATAATGAAAGTTTGGGATTCATAATATATTAAGTATTACTGCTATCATTAAACAGAAACATAATTATTGTACGAGTTATCAAAGCTTTTTTACCCAATACTTAATTGTATCATTTTTAAAGATACCTACCTTCCATGTTTGCAACAATTAATAAAAATAAATAAATATATTTATACAAAACTACGGCAAGCAGTAAGGAGATTTTTTAACAATTACTGTCGATTGCATCCTTCTGAGTTCCGAGTACATCTCCAACATAAAGCAATGACATAAGGCCAAAAAGAGCAATAACTATAAACTTCTAATATAATTTTATACTCTAGTGTTAAATTATATATAAATTAACTATCGTTAAAGAATTGATTTTAAACTGAAATGTAGTTGTTGTAATAGTATTTTTTCAATAAAAAAAACCGTTAAAATGGGAGTAAAGGAAATAATAATTCACATTTTAATTTATAACGTTAAATAGCAGGTACTAAGTAGGTACAAAACTTATACAATATTTGTATTTTTTCCTACTATTTAAGAACTAAGGATTTCAAATAATTGGCATTATAACACTTGATATTCACAGTATACGTGAATATTTTTTTCGGTACCTCCTTTGCTTAACTTAGCTTAATGTTTTGTGTAGGGGCAGTTTTAAAATACGACTGTCAAATATTTTACCAGGCGACATTTTTCTACCACCAGGCCATAATTATAACAATACAAATTGAAATGTAGGTATTACGCTATGTTGGAGTTATTTCTTACCTTACTATTAGGGATGAAAAATAAATCTACAAAAAGAAAATAGCAAATAGCAAAAGAAATTTCAAAATTAAAATAAAACCCTATGCTCTCAATAGAACTTGTACTTCTTTTAGATTATTACCAAACAACTTTTTTCGTATTTAATATGCTGTTATGTAATCTAGATTACACTGTCATCAATAAGCCCAATTCAAGCATTAATTAATTCGTTTTAATTCTGATTCATCAGGCATCGACGCCAACATGAAATTGAGGCAGGCCAATTATGATATTTGGAAAATAGGGCCGCTAATGTATACTCTGCGTTACCTCAAATGGCGCCCATAGTTTCGTGACAATTTAAGTTCTAACACTACAGTAATTAATTTATAACTTCATAAAAATTATATGGTGCTTACGAATTTTAAAAAAGTTATCAGTTTAGTATAAATCTTTAAGGTCGCCAGTTTTTAACAACTATGAATTAAAATGAAACCTTTAAAAAGGTTCCTAAAATATTATTTCTAACCTATTTCAACTATAGGTAAAAATATACCATACACTATAAAGTCGCCGAGAAAAATAATACTTAAACGTAGTCTTATATTTGTTAACCTTGATAACAAAATTAATCAAGCTTAGCTCGAAATCATTTTTCGAGTGTGATTGCCCGAATATCAATGTTTTCAAATTTAAAAACACGAACTCCGGTTGCCAACTTCCGACCCAATCAACCCGAACATGTCATTGAGCAGTTCTTTTCTTATCTGAAATATTTTGAAACCGTTGACAAACAATATTATTTCGAGCACTTCAAATGCGTGTACGAACACTTTACTACATTATAATATGTGCGCTATAGTTAATTTTATAAGCACTACTTCGTAAATAAACCTAGACTCGGCGGCGGGGGTTAGAAACAGTTTCTTTTACGTGTAAATGATTTGACATCAATTTCGTATTTCTTAACACCTAACCTAATAGTCACGTGGTATGAGGTTTACTTATAGCCCATCGAAAAATTGCACTTATAACCTGTGAACAGTGACGTACACATAACTTTTGTATGGGGGATCAGTTGCAAAAAAATTATTATGGAAAGAAAATTTCTAAACCTAAGTACTTGCACATTTAAATAATAAACAATAAAATATATATATATTGAATGTGTCAAAGTAATAATTTACAATAAATCATTGCAATATTTTTTTGTTTCCTTATAATTTCCTTACATTAAGAACACTATTTCATACAATTTAAAAATACCTATGGGGGGGGGATCTGACTCCTAAATCCCCCCTTGTATACGCCTCTGCATGTGAAACGGACAATATAGTGACGTCAATCTGTTCATTCAAATGTCTGTGATAAAAAAATATTAAATTTACCTATCCTAAAAAAAAATGTTTTACACAAAAACGGATCAAAGGCAAAGTTAATTCTATAAGCTAGTTATATTTTCTAATACATATGTCCATAGCACTGGTTCAACTACCTACTATCTGATAATGTATTGGAGAATCAACCTACCAGTGACGCCGGACCCTACTTCCCAATTTTATGGCCGGGCGTTGTTCATAACCACACACTTTTATATCTTAATCCCACATATTTTCGCCAAATTAAATCGTTCAATACCGCACACATTTATATATATATCAATTACGTATATATTTATCTAAAATAACATGAGTGCACCTCGAGACCGAGCGGGGTCACTCGCTCGCTCGGATAGTTAAAAACGAAAATATCCCCCGATTTGCTATGTAACATCACCCCTAATAGGTCCCAGGATAAAAAAAAAGATTTTGTGTGTGACTCATACGAAACCGGCAACGTGAACTGTACATGCAAAGTGTGCAGAGAGAAAGGAACTGTTAACCAAATGTGTATGGTTTTGAACTACCGACCTTTCAAGTTTCCCTTTTTAATAATAGAATAAATATGTGCGGTATTGAACGATGTAAAATGTGCGGTTATGAACGGTAAGTGTGCGATTTCGATGACCGCCGTTGTGGCTGTATCTTTTGGATAGTACATTTGTTGTTCTAATAAGATATAATAATGATTAGAGAGATTATAACTTATAAATCATATTGGGTGGATGGCTTATTAGATTTGTTTTACTCCTCAACAGGCACGAGGGAGCTACAGCACCCTCTCCTCTGAATTTTCTTATCGTGTACTCAAGTCTATAATGAAAGAGCAATCTCAAAAATAAAACCAGTTCAAACAAAATTAATAAACATTCTTTCACTAGAAAATTTAAATAATTCAATGCTTACTAGTTTTGAAAATGACCTATTACTTTTAAAATACCTAGCAAATCATGCAATCGAACTAACACTAAAAAATATAAAAAAATAATTACCTATATTTTTCAAACCAAAATTTCAATAATATCCAATATATAATTAATTAATTTTTTATATTGTTTGCAATATTTACTAATAAATAAGAACTTAAAATATGCCCTCTATACGAATGCCTATTTATTACAATACATGTCAGGTTATCACAAGTTGAAATTGTTAGGACTTTGGCGTCACTGTACCTAACTATATACTATAATTGTTCTGAACATGCGAAGTTAGTGTACGTGGATGATGCATGTAGGGAGACGTAACACACGTATACAGAACAAGCTGATGTGAAGTCCGCTCGGACGAAGAATGTAAACGATTTTTTCAACGGTGGTTACCCGCAGACCGATTGTTTACGGTGTGTGACTTGCAATATTGATGTATTTACTTAGTTGTACCTAGATGAATAATTGGCTTCCGATGAAAAAGATATTTTATTAAAGTGAGCTGAATTATTCCCCAATTTAATTTCCTTTATACGTTTCTTTATTTTTTTTCACATTTTACCGGTAAGGAATAAATTAATTTGAATGCGCAGTCCCTGCGTATAAAATTACACAGTGGCGTTACTTGAAGTAAATATTACGAAGGTTATGAAATGTAATAAAGTATAACGAAATCCGTGTACCACCGCAAGCGTAGGAAAAAACGCCAGAATACTAGTACTAGGCTCTCTAACTAATATTATCTTTATACGAAAATTCAAAGCATACGCGTCATAATTTTTTTTTTTTTAAGTGAATACTTATTATGAAACGATAAATGAAAAAAATAGTTAACAGATAATTAAAGGAAATCCGGTTAAATATACTATAAAGAGCGTATTAAATATTGCGTGAATTATAATTCTATATTAATACTGATTGTAACTGGGAACTATCACGTATGATTTTCGAATTTACGCCGTCAATTATTTTAAGTATGATGTTTAAGGATCCCAAGGGTCCCGGGGCACTGCCTAACTTTACCCTATGATAAATACGCCGTACTTCAAAGTGATTGTCATCCGTTCACCAAAACATTGCGAACCGATCGGTGGTATGCTGCGGACCGGCGGACCCTTTGGGCGACCGGCGACGGATCGTACGGGTAAAACAATAAAAACACTGATAAGATTAATCGCGCGCGCTCGCCTGCTGCCATGCTGTATAACAATGCGTTATAATATATGTATGTGTCGCAACTCACGACCGTCCTAATCAGTCGGAACGATTACGGCCGACGAACGACAATAACAACGTTACATCATAACGTAGGACCGACGTGTGACGGTAAGTAGTGCAACGGCGAAAACGAACACGACTTACCGTGATGTCCAGCTACTGCGGCGTAAGTGTCCCAGCGTCGAGTCGGCCACCGAAATTCGGCCCGGGGCGGGACGGACAACGCGCGCACTCCGCCGAACCGACGATCCACAGGTGTTGTCCGGCACGCGATTGTGTTATCATACGATGCGCGACACTGAAGCTGCTGGTGCTGCGGCCACGACCTACCTGTGTGGTCAGTGCGCCCTGAACTTGCGGCTGCAACAACTACGTGCTGCAGGGAAGGGCGGCGGACGGCGGTCAGGGGAAAACGGGAAAGGGAGGGAAAACTCTCGACTCGGATCCGGCCGGAAACGCGCGTGGGCGTAGTAGTGGTGGCGGTGTCTGTGTGCGCTTCGGACAAGACGGCGTCGTACGCGTACCACACGGTTGCGCGCGTTCGGAACACAACACGACTGGTTGCGAGGCGTGTGATGTCACTATGACATCATGTCCGTGTGTTGTAAAACGCTTAACCTTAACCACTCGGCGAACCGGTGACCTTGAACGGTTGCGATCAAACTGCCAGCGGACCACCGCTGGCACCTACCTACCTATCCGCGCGCGTAAGATTATAAAAAATAACACTTTGTTGTTTCGTCCCCACCATCCGCGTCTCGAGTCACACATCTCATCCGAGACGAGCACTTGGTAGCAACAACAACAACAACAACTCACTGCTGCTATCACTACTGCTACTGCTGCTGCTGCTGCTATTACTGGTACCGCAGATTATTGAATACGTAAATAATAATAGTAATATTAATAACAATAATTATACGGTGCAACGTAAGAGGGGAACCGTCCCGTACCGGTCCGAGATTTCCTGATATCCTGGACATTATATCCCCCCCCCCAATCGTTACACTTAACAATTATATTGTATTCGCCAAAGAGCGATAAAAATATAGGTGTAAGATTTTTGCAATCTCACCTCCCCACGTTACCTATTCGTTGTCACTCTTCCCCGTCCGTATGACAAAACACGACGATTTCGAGTTGGCCAGAGCCTAACGTATATAAACAACAAAAATCTCATCGTAAAAATTGCCAACAACGCTATTATAGACCATAATAGTCGACCATGTCGCGTTATCATCGCACATTGTATAAAATTCGTCGATGCTGACATGAAGTTAACAACGATTCCGCCGTTGCCAACATAAGACTATCATGTCGTTATCACCGATATTCCCTCCACCACTTCCCTCGTCCGCCGAAACAATATCGTGATATTGCGTACCGTGAACGTGCGTGTCCTTCGCATTTTCCCCCTGATAATACCGTCGGCTCGCTGTTACAGTCGAAATATGATTCGCAAGTTCATTACCAAACGGCGAAATCTGTCTTTGTCGAAAATCCTCTTTGCGTCCTTCTTTGGAGTGGTGGGAGGCGTGTACGTTTGGAAACCATTTTTCGAATCGTTGGATTCCGAACGTCTCGAAAAAACCAAGGTTCGTTCATCACCTACATAATAATAGTAATAATATCATTTTAAACTACGTCCGTGCCAAAGGGGCGGTTTGTGCAACATCTACCGGAGTACTGCTCTGGTTAAAAGAATTTTCAATAAACATGCTTGAGCTAATGACCGCATATTTTCGGTCGATTAATTAAAATGTTATTAATGTTCAGAGTTATAAGGTAATTCAAACCAATCGAAAACAATATATTTAGTGTTAATGGTTTTAGTTGATCTCGGACCCTGTTAGATTAAAATGTTCAAACTTCTTGTATTAATGTATCCAATTTTTGTTCATTCATTCTGCAAAAAAATAATTTAATTTGTCAACTTGTTGATATTTTATTTCATTGTTGACTTGACTGTCCAGCTGATATCCTGATATCGGACCATTACCATTTCTGTCAATGTTTATTTTTCTATTCCCATCATTGATTACCTGAATTCATGTATAGATCTTATTAATTTTTCAGGAAGAATGAATCCAAACATTAAGAACACACAAGCAGTTCGACCTGGTGGTCCCCTGACAGGTAATGTTAGCAAAATTCTTGCATTTGTTGGTTTGGGCTGGTTTGCCTCTATGATTCTATCACGGTATGTGATAAAACCACTAAAAAGAAAGGCTCAAATGAAAGAAAATGAAGAACTTATGGACTTTCTTTATGAAGAACAATTAAAACAAAATAGTACACAAAAAAAATTTGAAATATGAAAAATTTAAATAATATTTTTTTTCTATACTTGTTACAATAGTTTATATATAATAGTAAATACATGTAGTTATTACATTTTATTCAAAGAAATATTATTAAATTATATAATTTTTTTGTGAATTGTTCCTTGAAATAAAAACAGTTGATGAATTTAATTTATATTTTAGTAATAATACTTAATGTTCATATGTTGTTACCAAAATGTTGCTTACTTAATTTTTTGAATAGAATATGTCACATATTGTAAGAACTAGACAGTGTTTTATTTTTTTTTTATAGGAATGCATTTTCTATTGTAAATACTGAATATCTTTATTGTATTTAGTAAAGGAGTATAAAAATTTTTATTATAATATTTTCAGATCATATCTGGAAAATGGTAGTGTAAATTGAAGAAAAATTATTATGAAAGGAAAATTAATATGTTAATTTAATATTTCCTCCTTTCCAATACATTTTAAGTTGACTACAAATTTGATTATAATTAATAAATTATTTTTTAATTCTGCGTTTTCTGAATAAATCTTGAGATGGTCCAAATACTACTATTATTCTCATGATACTCAAAACTAAAATATTTTTTAAAGAAAGTATAAATATTAATAGAGGATATTTGAAAAAAAAAATAGCTTATCTTTTTATAAATTATTTCTTCATTCCTCAGGAAATATGAGGCGATCAGATCAAGTTACAATTACCTAAGGGTTGAAACATTGGAAAAAAATATACAACAATTGAGGGATATTTTACTAACAACTTTCAAATGTTTCTTTCATAATCCAGTTCAATTTAAGGGTGGTATGACTATTTGAGTATAGAAACAATAACTCAAAATTATTATTTAATCATTATTGTTTAGATAATTACACAACACATTGCTTATGAATTTAAAATATGTTCTCACAAATATTAAAATAAAACGTCCTGCTCGTATTATATAAAAAAATAAAATATAAATATAAAAAAAATATTATTTGTTGAATATATTACGAATTCACTCAGTACTTACCTAATATTTTCAAATAATATAAAATATTATTTTATAATAAGTGGCGCTATCTAATCTTCTTCAGATTTACGATCACCAAAACCATTGATTTTATTAAAGACATAATCAATGCTAGAACCATCCCGTCAAACACCCATTTCTATCGGATATTCGAACCTTCCAATCTGATCCTTCGCCATCTTATTATATCTTCTCTTGTCACTCCACTTATTCATCTAAGCATCTATATTAATAAAATCACAAAACTCTTTTAGTGAGTTGACTATATACTCATTATTAGAGGCGTACCCAGGAATTTTTACGAGGGGGAGAGTCCAAAATTTTTATTTTATCTATTCTCTAATTACGAGTATAATTACAGTTTAATTCAATACCAAAAAATTACAGTTAATAACTATAGTATAGTTAATAGCATAATAAACTTAATACATATTAGGTATATTATATAATCCTTAGGTTCCCAAAGTGTGTGTCGCAATGTTTGTATAGGGGCGCCGCGCCGTCATGAAATATTATCGGGTCTAACATTTTCTTGATGATTAGTCATGCTATGACTTAGAGAAGGGTGCCCTGAAAAACCTTAGATCAAAAAGGGCACCTTGAGTCGAAAAAGTTTGGGAAGCACTGATATAATCTATAAATTTGTATATTGAAGATAATGAGAAATTAAAATACACTATATACTATTATTATACTATTTATAATTAAACCATTGAGTATGTATACATTTCAATGGGAGGACGTATTTTAGGGGGGGGGGTCGAAGAGGCGATCGCCCCTCCTGAATCCGTATTTAAGGAATCGATCATATGTGAGATACACATATCAAATTTTTTTAATGTGGATCTTTTTATATCGATATTTAGTGTCCATACTTAGTGAAAAACCAAATAAAACGCAAACGTAACTTTCAAAACACAGACAGGTGATAAAAAAGAACTACACAAAATTCGATTCTAAGTGGATCCGGCAACAGATTAAAAAAAAAAAAAAAAAAACCACAAATATTGAGGATTCACCTGATTTAAATATTACCAAAAATTTAACTTGTAAATTTTGAGCCTGAATTAAGAAAAAATTTGAGTCCCCCCTAGAAGTAAGTCTAAATACGCTCCTGATGGGGGATCCGGACTCGAAAACCATCCCTTTGGGTACGCCCCTGTTCAGTATATATATATATGGAAAAATGTTGAAATATTTTTCCCTATACCGCTTGAATGTCAATATGCAAAATGTCAGCAGCAGTTTGTATTGAGTTATTTCAAATACGTACAGCACAACCAATACCAATGACATTTGATCGAGACCGACATAAAGCATACAAATAATATACACATATTGTACTATAATATTATGTCTTATCGTGGATCGCGACGTCGTGATCGTAATCGTCTCTATGCGGCTATGATCCATTACGACGAAGACCAATAATAATTTTATATTCCAATAATGGAATTCGATACATACAAATCAGTAATCATAATAGAATAGCAAAAACATTATTCTACAAATGCATAATTATATAAGACAGTGTTTTCCAACTGGTGTTCCATGGAACCTATGGGTTCCGTAAGCTTAGGCGATGGGTTCCATGAGAAATTTGGGAAAGTATAAATTAATTAGCAATATTTTGATTTGAATATAGAACTCAACATAGAACTGGAATTGACACATTTCTCGATGTGAGGTGCGTAGTTTGTAGCTTTTCGGGGTATACAAAGACTAAGAATAAGTTTCGAAATCAATTGAACGCGGCTCCGGACTTACGAATCCAATTTTCAGGAATAAATTCAGATTTAAAAACCGTTATGAAAAAAACTATGGAAAGATTCCAATCTTCTCGTTGAATCTATCTTAGAGATAATGAGAGACAAATATTAAATTTTAAGCTTTGATATATAAATTTATAATATTATAATAATAATAAACAAAATAAAATGTTAAAGCCGTCTTGTTTTTTTTTTATATTAATGACACTCTTGTGCCGGAAGTGTCCGATAACCCACTTATTAAAGTGTACAAAACATATGTCTGCACTAATATTATAGAAAAAATATTGGGGTTCCTCAAAACGTTCAAGCTCCTGCAAAGGTTCCGCGGGTAAAAGAAGTTGGGAAACACTGATATACGATATACATACTCCGTAGACCGTAATTTACGTTTAATACAGATGGATGAAGATTATATTTTTTAATATTTATTTGCATATTTTCTGTGATATGAAAATAGTCATATTTTTAAAAACGGGACAATTTAGCGTCCCGGAAGCATATGTCGGGACAGACTTACGGTACTTTCCCGTATAATACGGGATGTCTGGCCACCGTATGTATAAATACTTTTGACTTCAGTGTAACTGACATCAAATAATAAATTGTGATTTTTCGATTAAACCATATTTTTGATAATTATATTATTCGTTATCATAATACGGGTTGAGTGTACAAAACACTTATTTTTGTATTTGGTTGGACAGCCCGGACGAAAACGGGCACACACGATTACAGAAGTTGCATGTTTCAATTACGAAGCACATTTTACTCCATTGCTTCACCAGTGCACGTCAATCCACTTGTTGTTCAATAATTTTAAATATTTTCAAACGTGAATAGAACTCAACAACCAATATGGTAAGTTATATTTTACTAGTTACTGAGTTTGTAAATAAAATAACGCGCTTTAAATATATATTCAATACAGATTTTTAGTCGTATCACTATGATTTACTATTACATGATGAACATAATTTGGGAACAAATGGCACTTTACCTCGCCCCTTACGAATTTAATTTTTTTTTTATCTCAAATGGGATGTGTTTTTCAACGCTGATTTTAAAACCGTTTCAATTTCTTTTTTTTTTTTGCGGAAATAATTAGTTTGGAAATTATGGTGTTGTGAAATTGACATTTGTATATTATACTTTATTATTAAAGTTATTATACATATTTTATATCGTCAAGTACAATGTTAATGTGTATTACCTGAAAATTCTTTGAGTTTCTGTGCACGATTAACAGTTCTACCAGTGGCGTATGCTGTGTATTCACAGCATACACTTCACAAATTGAAAAATATTTTTTTTACATACTAATGTTATGTTTTTACAGAAACTTTTTCAATTGTACTAATTTAGTATTTTATAGTTTAATATTTTGTGGATTTTCTTCCAAATTCATTAACCATTAGGGTTGAATTAATAAATCCGCGATCAAAATCAAATCAAATCAGTAAATCCGCAAGACCATGGCCACGCCCCGCGCTACGGTCCATATAACTGGTGACTAATACCTACTAGAGATCAGCACGGGCCGTTTTTTTTCTGCCCGATCCGGCCCAAAATTTAAACTTATAAATTGTCGTCGTCCAGGCCCGGTCCATATTTTATTTTTTTTAAGTCTAGTCCGACTAGGCCCTTTTTTAATTTTTTTTCAAAGTCCAACCCAACCATGCCCATTTGTAAATAAAAATATACATCAATTATATTTCCTTTCAGTATCAACTTAGCAGACAAAAACATTTCATAAAGACAATAAATGTATTACAAAAAAAAATATGCTAAATTTTATTAAAATTTAAATATAAAATTATTTATAGATATAAAATACATTATGCTACAAATTAAATTAATTAGTTTTGGTTTGACCGACCCGGCCCAATAAATATTACTGTTCCACATATACCCAACCCGTAATATTTAAATTATGGCTTGGCCCGGACCAAGCTCGGTGTAGGTCGAGCCGGGTCGGACTAGTCCGACCCATGCTGATCTCTAATACCTACCATGTTTATTATGTATGTAGTATCAGGGGCGACTTATCCGGGGAGAATTTGGACTGCGTCTGCCTTTAAAAAAAACAGCTACTTGTAAATAATTACTGTTTAAAAATGTATAGAAATATTTTTGTTTTTAATGAAAATATGTTTTAGCGTTTTATATATTTATCATCATAAATTTAAGGCCACAAAATATAATACCTATGAATAGTTATTTCGATGGAAACACTATTTTAGTCATTTCGACGACATTTGCCGTTTCAATGAAACTGACAGGTTCAATGGTAACACATAGTGGTTTGGCTTGTTGGACGGAAGGGGCCGGAGAGAATAATCCGCGGATTATAGACACTATTGAAACTGAGTTCACGACAATGATTTCCGTATTGTGGCACCATCGTTAGTTGCTGTGTACACAGTCATTGGCGAATTCGCAAATGAAAAAAATTGCAGAATTGAATTAGTTTATAAAAAAAAATGTATAATTAAATCAAGTTAAAAATATGAACTAAACATTATGTTCATATATTCATAAATTATGAATTGAAAAATTTTAAATTTTGTATATACATGGCCTTCATTTTTCAAGTAACTCCGATGGGCTAACTGTCCAAGAGTTCAAATCAAGGTCTCAAAAGAAAAAAATTTCCAAGATGCCAATTTTGTCAACAAATATTAACTGTGGGTCAGCTGACCCCCTGACCCCTCAGATTCGCCACTGTATAGTGTTATAAACTAGGTAGTTTAATATATATTAATAAATACATAAGACTTAGTATGTTTAAAGTAAAATTTTAAAAACAGTATAGGGGTGGTGAGGGAGGGGCATAGCATAAAATCAACTTACCATATAAACATGCGGTTTATAAGTTTTATAAGCTGAAACCCAAACTACGCTAAGGAGTTATACACTACACAATTGATTAAAATCGAATAGTTCGTTTCAGTCTACGAGTACATTATTCTGAATGCTTCCCCGAAGGAATCGAGTAAATTAAATTGACCATTGTGATATCTTACTGATTATCAATTGAGTAATTACCATAGAGGCGCAATGCTGGTTACTAGTTTAAATATATTAATATTGGGAATACCGAAATATAATACAAAATATCTTTGATTATTGTCGCCATCATCAAATTCCACATAATTTTATGCGCTTTCGTATACATTTACTGCATTAATTAAATATATTTCAACTTTATATTTTATAACATAAATATCCTAGTACTGTGCAGTGTGCACCACCACAGCATTAGCCTGCGAAAACTATATTTTTTAAAAACGTTTACAATCTACACAAAAATAATGCATTATATTTATAAAATTACATTTAACCTAACCTATGATTCTTTTGAATTATTGTTGACCATCAATCAAGTGTGCTCCACAATTGTTTAAAATGGGGAAAAGGTGTTTAAAATACAATTTTTGTAAATATTATGAAATTTATTTGGGGGAGGGGGTATTTGCAACAAGCTTGTATAGAAAATTATTTAGATGCCTTTTAAAAAATGTATACACAAAATATGGTTTTTTTTTTCATTACTTTTTCTAAATAAAAATATTAACTTACAATTATTTAGTTATACATTCAATAGTCATTTTTGGTAGTAAAATTTTTATTTTTAATAACTGTATTATAAATTCTCGATAATAATGTGATTTAGAAAAATGTAGAATCAATATAAGTATTCTTATTAAAATTATTTAAAAAAAAATAAGAAGAATTTATTTTAGTTAATTTTTTTATGCATAAGGCATAAATGATAGATTTTGATATTTTTTTATTTTTAATCAAAGAAATTAATAATGAAGATATCAATATTTTTATAAAAATACACTTAAAATATTTGTATTTTGTAGTACCTACCAAGTCATCACTTTCAATTCAACAATTGATTGTTAAATATTTTATGGCTTAAGTTACTCCAAAAAGTTATTCTCATTCCAAAACAAATTGTATACTTACTTAGAATACAAATAAAAACTTTACATTTAATGTAAATTCAAATAATTTTCAATTTCAGCGTGAATGTATTTCTGTTCATGTCGGTCAAGCTGGTGTTCAAATTGGTAATGCCTGTTGGGAACTGTATTGTTTGGAACATGGTATTCAACCTGATGGTCAAATGCCATCTGAAAAAACCTCTGGTGATGACAGTTTTAATACCTTTTTTAGTGAAACTGGTTCTGGTAAACATGTCCCTAGAGCTGTCTTTGTTGACTTGGAACCTACTGTTGTAGGTAAGATAAAATACTAGTCTTTAATTAAACATAATAAAACAATTGATTTAATATTTCTCAAATAGGTAAATAATTTTATTTATTTTATATAGATGAAGTACGTACAGGCACATACAGACAACTTTTTCATCCTGAACAATTAATTACGGGTAAAGAAGATGCAGCCAATAATTATGCTCGAGGTCATTATACTATTGGCAAGGAAATTATTGATATTGTATTGGATCGTATTCGCAAGATTGCTGATCAATGTACGGGTCTCCAAGGATTTTTAATATTCCACTCATTTGGTGGAGGTACTGGTTCAGGTTTTGCATCATTGTTAATGGAACGTTTAAGTGTTGATTATGGGAAAAAAAGTAAACTTGAGTTTGCCATTTATCCTGCACCTCAAGTAAAATATTTGATAGAAAAAATGTACTTTTTATTATTTTTAATTCACATCATTGTTATAGGTTTCTACAGCAGTGGTTGAACCATACAATTCTATTTTAACTACTCATACTACTCTCGAACATTCTGATTGTGCTTTCATGGTAGATAATGAAGCAATATATGACATTTGCCGCCGAAACTTGAATATTGATCGCCCTTCTTATACCAATTTAAACCGTCTTATTGGACAAATTGTATCATCTATCACAGCTTCATTACGATTTGATGGAGCCTTGAATGTAGACTTGACTGAATTTCAAACTAACTTAGTGCCATACCCACGAATACATTTTCCTTTAGTTACATATGCGCCAGTTATATCAGCTGAAAGAGCTTGCCATGAACAATTGTCTGTTGGTGAAATAACCAATGCCTGTTTCGAACCAGCTAATCAAATGGTGAAATGTGACCCTCGACATGGTAAATACATGGCTTGTTGTATGTTATATAGAGGTGATGTTGTACCTAAAGATGTAAATGCTGCTATTGCTACTATTAAGACTAAACGTTCAATACAATTTGTAGACTGGTGTCCAACCGGGTTTAAAGTAGGCATAAATTACCAGCCACCAACAGTTGTACCCGGAGGTGATTTAGCTAAAGTACAACGTGCTGTTTGTATGTTATCAAATACTACAGCTATTGCTGAAGCATGGGCTCGTTTGGATCATAAATTTGACTTGATGTATGCTAAAAGAGCATTTGTCCATTGGTATGTTGGTGAAGGAATGGAGGAAGGAGAATTTTCAGAAGCTAGAGAAGATTTAGCAGCTTTAGAAAAAGATTATGAAGAAGTAGGTTTGGACTCTGTTGAAGGGCAATTTGATGAAGGTGGAGAAGAACTTTAATAATTCTAACCTGAAATGATTTTGCAATCATCTAATGAATTTTACTATTTTATTGAATGTTATTCCTGTAAATTATATTAAGGCATTAGGTTATTTATAAAAGAAAAAAATTATACATAAATATAAATATAATGAAAATAATATTTTACCATTTTAGTTATGTACTAGTTAATAATTTTCTTGGTTGTAAATGATTGTATTATATCTTTTGAGAACTCATTTCTCACTAGTTAATTTGCATTTCACATCTTCAATTTTGTGCAATTTTTTAGATAAATAAATTACCATGTAATTTTATAAATATTTCATGAAAATGAACTTAGAAATTATTTATTAGATCACTATCAAATTGTTCATTTGATAAATCATCACAATTGTATATAAGCATGATAAAAAAAAATACATACCCAAGTTTACAATATGTTGGTAAATATTGTTTTCTAAACTTTAACTATTCATGATCGCTTAATGCATCGATACAGTGAGTTCCATTTTTATAACTACTTAACAATGTATTATAAAATACATTAAACAAAAATTTAATTTATTCTTATATAATTTATAAACAGCCATAGAAAATAAGAACTTGAATTTTAACACGTTGATACATGCCATAACAAATAACTACATAAATTTGGATAAAATTATGTTCTATACACTCCAGCCATAATAAATTACATTTATAAGTATTTAGAAATTAAGATAGTTGAAAATGTAGACTATAACAGCAGTTAATTTTATTTTATTTGATTTATTAATATTTCATAAAGAAAAATAGTATAGAAATAATATATTAATATTAATAATGTAATGGGTAAAGCCGAGCATTTTTAATGAATCTATACTTAAAGGTTCTAACATTTTCTAGGTGAGGCCTGATTTTAATTAATCTCTTCAATACTAACATTGTCGACTATGGACTTATTTATTACTTTCAGTTGCAGTATAATACTTTTTGTTTTTGCGTCACTCACATTTTCAAATTAAACGATCGGGTCGATTATATTATACATCCGCGTAAACTCATATTCGAGTATAGAATGTCAATTATGTAATAACAGTATTATTTTCTTCTTAAAAGTATTTTTACCCGTACTTAATGTATTCGTATGTTTGAAAGGTTTCTCACTGCCTTAGCTTTAAACTAACAATATTGTAGTATTTTTGAACAAACATTTAGTTTTAATTCTGCTAAAAAATAATTTTGCAAACTATTAAGTCTGAAATATTACTGACGGTCCTCTACCCTCATCGTCATACTAAATTCTGTGATTGAAATACTACTAATACCTATTAACTACAGTAAACTACTGCTAAATAATTCTAACTATAGGTAATTACTTCTAAATCAGTCTTACACTAAATTATTATGTGATCATTTATTTTACTGAACTCATAACACTTGATTCATCATCAATATATAACTAACTTGTATTAACTGCAATTAACTATTGATTAATTATTTTAACTAATATAATTACAGTTAACTATTACTAAATTATTCTAACTTATTAAATATTGTTAAATTATTCTATTTATAGTTACTACTAAGTACATATTACATTAAATTACTAGGTATTAATAATTAATGGTTAAACTTAGCTGTAAACTAAAAAATTGTTAATATACGACTTTAATAGTGACATAAGTCGATGCTTGTTCGTTATTTTTTAATCTAACTGTTATATGTTTGTAATTAATTCTTTGTTTTGACGTTTAAATGAGTAAAATATCGAAAAAATATAAAATTAATTCATCGACAAACACTGAAAACTAAACAAAATTGAAATAACGTACTAGTGTATATACTATGCAAAATATAATTAACTAATTTCGTTTTATTGATTTGTTTCATATAACAATCAATTTAATTTTGGCCAACATATTTTTACATTACTTTAAGTAATCAATAATATCTATTAGAGTCAACATCAATATTATTAATTTTCTATTTACATGCACTCGTTTACTTGTTCAAAATATAAGTAACGAAAAATATGAAAATAAACAAAATTCAACTTTGGGCTTTTTAGAATTATTTTTACTTTAGCTACGTCTATTTCGTTCAAAGCCGGATAATTCAGCTAGATAGTCTAAATAATTAAAAGCATTGGAGGTTGAAAAAATATTCCACAATCTATAGCAAATTAATAAGAAAACAAATTAGATTTAGTTGATTATTACGACAAATTAAATGCCTCATAAAAAATAACAATATATGGACATTTGGTTTTCTTTTCAACATATTTATTATATTATATACTTGAGTTACTGATACGGCATGTGCTAGAATATATATATATATAATAATTAATTACTGTGACTATTCAAGTCTCCAGATTTCATGATTTTAAAATGTGTCAAATCATTTTAAATAAAACTATGCATATAATAGTATTAATATGTAAAATAGTGGAACTAGTGAAACTAGTAGACTGATCTTATGTACAGTGTGACCTTATCATTAACAGTTGGTCAAATTGTTTTTAATGATTGTTTATCTTTAGTGATCGTCGGCGCCGCCGAAGAAATCGGCATAATAATAACACGGTAAAAGTATAACTGAATTAGATTTAATATGTGAATTTAAATATAATTTATAATAATAACAATAAAAAAAATGTCTACGAGAAGTCAGACTAATGCAATGGGTTTGTCTGAGGTACATATTGTCTAGTATTTTAAGTACAAATTAATTATATACTTTTTGTGGTTTGTTATGCTTTTAGGAAGTACAAAGGCATTCCGTGCATACATTAGTGTTTAGATCGCTCAAAAGAACTCATGATATGTTTTTGTCTTGTCAAGGAATGTTACCACCCATCGACGAAGAAGCGTTAGTTAATTTGAACATTTAAATTAAAATTTAAATGTTTTATAATGTATTATTTGTTTAGGGAAAAGATTAAAAAACTTGTCAAGGCACGTGACTGTTATGGGCTAGTCTTTGATAAAGTAGAACGTAATAAGATAAACATGAAGAAGTCTCAACCAAATCTTCCTAAATCTGATACTGTTGATACGTATAAAGATAATCTTCCACTGTCCATAAGTTAGAACAATTAATATTTGGTATTTTTTAAAATATTGACTAAATTAATTATTATTTTTAGCTGACAATCCTGAAAAAAATAATAAAAATACAGAGACTAGTATGGTGTTATCAAGTCCTAGTACACAAAACATTGCTGCTGCTAATCGCCTTATTAATCATATAATGCCAAAGCCAAAATGGCATCCACCGTGGAAACTATATAGAGTTATTTCAGGGCACTTGGGTTGGGTGCGATGTGTTACTGTTGAGCCGGGTAATGAATGGTTTGCTACTGGTGCTGCGGATCGAGTTATTAAAGTAATATTAAATATATATTATATAGTTAAACTTGCTATGTAACATTATATTTTATGTTTTTAGATTTGGGATTTAGCCACTGGAAAATTAAAACTTTCTTTAACTGGACATGTGAGTACAGTAAGAGGTTTACAAGTAAGTCCTCGACATCCATATTTATTCAGTTGTGGGGAAGATAGACAAGTAAAATGTTGGGATTTGGAACATAACAAAGTGGTTAGACATTACCATGGACATTTGAGTGCAGTTTATAGTCTTTCATTACATCCAACAATTGATGTTTTATTGACTGCCGGTCGAGATTCTACAGCACGAGTATGGGATATGCGTACAAAAGCTAATGTTCATACCCTCACTGGACATACAAATACAGTTGCCAGTGTTGTCGCTCAAGAATTTGAACCCCAAGTAAAATAATTTAACTGAATTATTTGTTAAATATTTACTTTACCTATTTCAGTGTAAATGTATTGTTTCATTTAGGTTTTAACTGGATCTCATGATTGTACCATTCGGTTATGGGATTTAGCTGCTGGTAAGACTAGAGTTACTCTTACAAATCACAAAAAGAGTGTACGGTCACTTGTCTTACATCCTAAAGTGTTAGTTAAAAAACAAATCTTTTATAAGTGATAGACAATAATTTACTTTATGTATTTTTACTACTTATTGTTTAGATATATGTTTGCCAGTGCAAGCCCAGATAATTTAAAACAATGGACATGCCCAGATGGAAAATTCGTTCAAAATCTTACAGGTCATAATGCTATAGTTAACTGTATGGCTGTAAATTCTGATGGAGTATTGATGTCTGGAGCAAATAATGGTTCAATTTATGCTTGGGATTGGAGAACAGGTTATAATTTCCAGAGAATGCAGGTATATTATGTTTATGTTTTATTACTTAAATTTCATTAGTAATTGATTAAAAAAATATAAAATGTTTTTAAACTAGGCTCCTGTACAACCTGGATCTATGGATAGCGAAGCTGGAGTATTTGCTATGGCATTTGATCTCAGTGGTACTCGACTTATTACAGCTGAAGCTGATAAAACTATAAAACTTTACCGTGAAGATGATACTGCTGTAAGTATATTCCTGAGTATTTCTTGGATAGAACATAGGTTTTGTTTGACTTTTAAATCTATCACAAAATTTAATTTTGTTTTAATAATATCTGTACTACAAAATTAAGTATAATTTCAATAACATTTATGATGTTATTGATATATACTAGTTAAATATTCTATCTACCAATAGATATTTATCTGCAATAATATTTAAATAAACTAGCATGATATCTATTGTATAAATTTATCTTCTGATGGATATTGAAGAATTTTATTAAAAAATGTATTGATTATTATATATTATATGTAAGGAACGGATTTATATGTAATAAAAATACATAAATATGTACATATATATGTAAGTATAATTTATAAAATATGTACTAAAACCATCCAAATATGTAGGAAAAAAATTAAATTAAAAAAAAAAAAAATTATAATTATTAAATTATCAAATATTAAATGTCGCCTATTAGATCTGAAAATATTTTTAAATGATCATTCCACATCAACCTATGTCGGTTGATTTAAGCATATTTGAAGGGCATAATATTAGAAGGCAATAATTCCAAATTTTTAGAAGGGTGTCTGCCACTCACTATGTCATTGATTGATTTAAAATCAATATGGCCTGAAATTTTTTTCTGTAAAAACATGAATTTTCTTTTTTACTACTTCTCCTATTGGTCCGTTTACGAGTTTTCATTTTGCAATCATTGATTCGACAATTTGCATACTTTCATTCAAGGACATATTTTTGTTTCTAATTTTGTAAATGTATGTGCAATAAAACTAAAATTCACCGAGATGAAAATTAAATTAGTTTTCAATGTTTCATTTTGCATAATATTTTGAGCTTTTCTAATAGCGATAAAAGTTCTGGATTTAAATTTGAAATAATTTCTTGTATTTTTGTACAAAGAAGACGTATGAATGATGAAATAATAAAATGTTTAAAAATATTTACAAATTAGTGAAATATGTAGAAAAATGTAAAATAAAAGTAGCATCATATTAATAAGAATAATTTAAATCATGAACATTTCTTATCAAATTTTAAATATCTCGTTTTAATAAAAATATGTATTTACATATAAATCCGTTCCCTAATTATATGTATAGTTAATTACATATAAGATGTATACATTTTATATCTTAAATACAGTGAAGTAAATTAGGAAGGGAAAAATTATATCCTTCACCATAGTCTAGTTTTCAGTTGAATCTTGAGTTTGTTTATTTTTAAATTTTCTTATAATACTTGAATTTATATTTAGTTTTTTTTAATTTCTGTTAAAATATTAGTTGAAATTTAAATTTTTATAATTTGCATACATCAAATACGTCTAAATAGTAATTATTCTTTTTAGAATTATTGTTACTTATCCATATTTGATTGAATACTTTATCTAAATTAGAAAAATTTTAATGTATTGTTTATCTAGAATAATGTCAATCCTCAAATATTTCCATTTTTTATGGACATCTATCAAATTGTCTGTATTATATATTATAAACATTAATTTTGCATAATAATTGTTAGAACTATAGAAGTAAAATAGTATTCTAAAAATATGTACTATGTATATTATTCAACGTGTAAAAAGTAAACTTATACTTTTAACAATGAAATTTGCAATTTTATTTAAATTATTTGTTAGAATGTTTAAAACTGGTTAGTTGAGTTTTGATATTGTTGCAAATTATTAATTCTTATTTTATGATTTATATTCTTGTTGCTAATATAATATTCAATCAGTTTATTAGATTTATCATTGAGTAATATTTATAAACAAAATATATATTTAACTGCAATTTTTTTTTTTTACTATTTTCAGCAGAATGTTTTCTCTTTGAAGAGAGCATTTATAACAATATTTATTACTATAAAGCATATGTTTATTGTTTAACAATAAAATAATTAATTACATAAAAAATTGTTTGTATTAAAAATGTATACTTTTTTGTTATAGACTGAAGAAAGTCATCCGATTAATTGGAAGCCAGATATAATCCGAAGAAGGAAGTATTAATAATTTTATATTTATTTATTGATATTTTGATTAATAAATAAAGATGACAATTTTGTGATTAAATGTTCATGTCAAACAATTTTAAGAGTTAAATTTTTTATATTAAACTGCAATTTATTTACTATATCATAAACTATTTTTATTTCTATGGCCTATCTCAGACACTGATTTTGCTGTTGATGTTAATAATCAAAATACTCTACCAACTCTATTTTTCCCTAGATTTATTTTATTTATTTATTTATTTAAATGGGACAAGCCCAAAGTACAAAGTAGTAAATATAGGAGATCGGTTATACATATAGTAAGTAATTATTAAAGAAAAATGTAGTAGTGGTAGAATAATTCATAACAGTAAATACATAATACATTTAAGTAATTTGACTAATAGTAATAAATAATAGATATCCTATTTTCTTAAGACGGATACACATCAGAGCATTTTGGTGTAATATAACTGTAATGCTCAGGTATGTACAGTGTTACTGTATCATTTGTGCGTGTTCACTTGAATGTTGATATTTTGACGAACATCAAAGGAATGTTTCATTACAAAACTACTAGTGTGTACAGTGAAGCAGTTGCTCACAGTGAATTGCCTGGTGTTATACTCGTATGTTCATTTGATTTATATAACTGATGGATAGACTGGCAAACAATCGATACAGAGTAGTGTTTGAACTTAAATGTTCACACTGATCATTTGTAACATGTAACAATCAAATGAGAACAAATTCTCTTACATTACAATTAAATGCTTCGGTATGAACTCATCTTTATACAAGGCCGGATTGGACAAATTCGGCCCACCGAGTTTTCTGTATATTACCAGCACACTTACTAACTGGCGGCCCTTATCCAAATTTTTTGAATCGCATATTTCAATAGGTGCACTAATCTTCAACTTTATAAACTATTAATATTTTCTGTTAGCGGCCTTTCACAACTTAAAAGGCCAAAAATTGACGCGGCTCACCGAGTTTTGCTCGGTAACTTGCTGGGCCAATTTGGCCCTGTTTTTATATATCAGCTTCCAAATTGAGACAAAACCAGTGGATGCAGATATTTAACAAAATCACGTCTACTGTCTAATTTGTGCTTGTAATAATAAATGTGTTAACTAATAACTTATAAAAGTTTAAACAAAGAAAAAAAATAATTTTTGATTTTTAAAAAGTAGCTTACCTTCGAGCAATTTAATTTTTATTTTATTATTTTTATAAGTTAATTTCACTTTTTCTTTTATAGATTTTTTTTAAAAATTAATTTATGAACGTTTTGCATTCAATTTAAAGTTCTATTTTCTATGCATTCAAATTATATCTAAATAATTGCTTTTACTGTAACTGAAGTGTTCAACAGTTCTCATTTGAAAGAGGAAAAATTTGAAAATAAAATTAATATTTTGTTGGTGAAAACTTGAGCGTAGGTAAATTTAGTCCCAAACGAATTTATCTTTTTTCGAAATAGATAAGCTGAGTCCCAATATTAATATTGAAATTAGTAAACTGAGTCCCACGTATAAAATTTAAAGAGTAACTGAGTCCCTCGTATAATAGTTAAAGCGGTAAATTGAGTCCCGTCTATAATATTTAATGTATTAAATTTATTTAAATGTATTTAAATTATAAGTATAATCGTTGATATAGGTAGCTATAAATTCACTTAGTACGATAGGTAAGTATATCTTATCCTTACATCTTTAAATATTATTATATTTCGCTCCGTATTATTATGCAACATTCATATAAGTACCTAACTATCTACAACAACGCTGGATGTAATATGTGATAACTGATAAATGTAAGTTTAATGTACGTAGTATAAAATTGTTAATATGATTAAAAATGTGTTAAATAAAAAAAAAAAAACAGCATTTCATCATATTTCAAATTACCGCTTTAATATTTATACATGGGACTCAATTTACAGATTTCATTTTTATGTGAGGAACTCAATTTTTTTTTTTTTTTGGTGGGAATCAGCTTACCTAAAATTAATAAAATGGGACTCAATTTATCAAACCCTGAAAACTTGGTGATAATATGTGATAACACTATCACTAAAGAAATATCTGATCATATAGGGATTTTATTTGAATAAACGTTTTATTATTCTGTCTTCATTATTTTATATTAATATATTTAAATAAGTATACTTATTTATACATTTATTTAATAACTAATTAAATATATTAATTTTTCAAAATGTTCCGAAAAAATACAACTACTTTTCTACCACATTCAGTTTGTCATAAACATATGCAAATAATTCTTGTACGAACTAAAAAAACTCATTGGGTGAGTATATTGTTGAATACAATTATTAGCAAAAGTAACTTTTATACCTACCTAATATTCTTATATTATAGTCTGTAGCTAAGAAGAAGATTCATCCAAAAGACAAAGCCTTAGAACATTTTGATGACTTTTATGGTTCTGTATACGGGAAAAGATGGAAATCAATACGACTTGCACTGTTGTTACCACACAAATATATCGCTGTAGTGAATAACTTTAGTGATGCTGATAAAATTTCTCAAGAACTAGAGGTATTCCTGATTTAAAATAATTGAATTGGTTCTCATTTGGTTGAATTTATTTCTGTTTGAAAATTATATATTATTAAGGTGAGCTGAATTGGTTCCTGTTTTTCTTTTTTACCATTTCTCTAAAATTTCCAAGTATTCACTTGCAGTATAATAATTAATAAAAAATATTTTTATGAAAATATTGGATCAACATAAAATAATATTGATTTATACTATAAGATAATATTAATATATATACTAAGTATAGTAAAAGGACGTTTCACCCCTTGCCATTTCGTCCCTGTCAAAAAAACAAGTCCACGGACATTTCGTCTGTCTATTATTAAGATAGGACATTTAGACCCTGGGAGTTATATAGATTTATTTATTCCTACTTATAGGACATTTGGCCCCTGGAATTTTAAATTACTAGATTTAAATCGATTTTTTTTTTTAACTTAAAATTTAAATTCTTTTTAAAACGCACAATTGCACAACAAATTTAAATCCACATTAACCATATATTGCATAAGCTGTATACACCACAATCGGAGAACAGTTATAGACACGCACCAATAAAAAAAAAAAATTATAATGACAATAATAATTTAGGTACAATTATATTAAGTAAACATAAATTATAAATGTTATATGATTATTCCTGTCACATTTGTAAAAATATTATTATTAAAATAAATCTATATTATTCCTGAGGCCAAATGTCTTATCTTAATAATAGACTGGGACCAAATGTCCGTGGACTCATTTTTTGATGGGGACAAAACAGCGGGGGTAAAACATCTGCGATTCACTAAGTATATACTAATACCTACAATCAAATACCATTTTTTTATATAATCTGTTCGGTATATATTTATATTTTATAACAATTATAGGTAAATAATTTTATTCTGCAAAAAAATTAAAAAATTTTAATATTAGTTTGGTAATAGAACTGAATAGAAACAGGAAATTATTCTGCTCATCTGAATAAAGTACCTATTTTAAATAAGAACCAACTCAGTCAATGATGTTGGGCTTGGGAATTAATTCAGTACTAGCCATATAATTATATTTTTATTATTTTTTTAATTACATAAAGTTCATTATTAAATAGTTATTATAACAAACATAATATTTATTTTAAGTGGGCAGGAGCGATGAATTTAAGAAAAGTAGTTGAAGCGTACACACCAAATGTTGAAAATAAATTCCTTAATAAAAATAAAATACAAGATTTGGATAAAACATTAGAAAAACTATTACTAACTGGTGAAAATAAAAACAATACTAATAAAGAAAAGTGAGTACAGTAAAAATTAATAACATAACCTACTTTAAACTTTATTAAATATTTAATGAGTATTTTCTAGAGAGAAATATGTAGAAAAAGCATCGCTTGAAGAGAGTTTATTAGAAGCAGAATGTGATGAAAATAGACTAGTTGACCCTGAATCAAATTCTAATATTGGAGGATTATATCAATTTATACCAGCTACTGAACTTCATGGCAAAACTGACTGGATTCCAGAATCCCAACATTACCAATACTATGAAGAAAATTCAGATTTCCCAATCAATGTATTAAACGAAGAAAGTTCTCTTAATATTCCACCTCACCTACAATTGTATACATTTGACCGGGGAGATTTTTCTTCATTTCCACGTTCTAAAATTAGGACCACCAAAGTCAGCAGTAAGATAATTATTTTATTATTTTTTACCAATAAATGTAATAATTTATTATAATAAATATATATTAATATAATATAAATTATATTGAATGTTTAAACTTAATTATTAGTCTTTAATAATATATTATAAATAACGATCTTATACTATTTGTATTATATTGAAATCTAGGTTACTATTTGATGGATGGAGGTTCAATTTTACCTGTATTGGCGTTAGATTTAAAACTTGGTGACAGAGTATTAGACATGTGTTCTGCTCCTGGTGGTAAAGCATTAGCAGCGCTTCAAACATTATTACCAGGTTATTTTTTTAATGTTTATGTATTACTATATTCAGTGGTATGTTGAAAGGTTATATACCTAGGCATTATAGTTGAAATTTGATACAGTATATTTTACAGGTATGTTTTGTTAATATTAATTATTTTAAAATGTACTAATATTTGCATTTATACATTTAAATCCTTAAATGTACATTTATAAGCACAAAACCATGAACTTTAGCAGCAGTTCTCTAACTTTTATGACCACAGAACTCTTAGGAAATAGTTTGATTCAAAGAACTCCATAGTCTCTAACTCCGATTTAAATCTAATTTTTCAATTATTCATTGATAGACCAACACTACAAAACATGTTTTAAAGATAATTTATGATTATTGTTTATTACAGTTACAATTCTCAATATTCACATACATCTTGCGAAATTCTTGAGATTGTCTCATGGAACCTTTAAGTTCTCCGGAACACAGTTTATATAATTTAAGAATTATAGGACTATGGAACCATTTATAATTTTACATGAGGTATTTTTATAAAATACTTGGGGTGAGGCCCGCATTTAGGGGGGACATGGGTAGGCACATGCCCAGGGGCGTCAAGTTTCAGGGGTGGCAAAATATTTTAGCAAAATTAATTTTAAAAATGATGTACCTAATGAAAAAAAAAAATAGTATGTTTTATTATATTATAATTTGTTAATTAAAAAAAGTATTAAACATTTTTTATTTATAAGTTGTATTTTAATATTGTATTTTGTATTTTGTATTTTAATATTAAATCATCTCGATTATGGACAAAATAATAAGTGTTATATTATTATTATTTATTTATTATATATTATAAATTATATGCCCGGGGGCGCCAAATTTTTAAATACAGGCGTGCTTGGGATGGATGTTAAAATATGTGTTGTGTAATGTACATCATGGTTCATTAATATTGATCATGCTACTGAATTAATTGTAAATAATTGAACAAAAAGATGAAGAAAATACTATTTAGTATATATTAATATGATTAATTTTGAATCATAAAATAATAAAGACTTATTGGACATGTTTTCAATTAGTCAATTTTTTTCTTTTTTTAGAATCGCTTGTATGTAATGATGTTCAAGAATCAAGAATTAAAAAACTACATAATGTTATGTCTGAATTTATTATTGACTATGAAAGTTGGGGCTCACGTCTAATGATTACCCAAATGAATGCACGAGATATTGATGAACCAGACGTATACAATAAAGTAAATATATCTACTGTACTCTTTTATTATTAAAAACAATACTTAATTATTGTCTAAATAAAATATAATAGTTTTTTTTCTAATCTAAATATTTTATTTGAACTATTATAGATATTGGTAGATGTTCCATGTACTAATGACCGTCATAATTTATTAGTCAACGATAACAATATATTCAAACCTAATCGTGCAAAAGAACGTTTAAAGTTGCCCGAAATACAAGCTGATATTTTAATGTAAGCTCTCTGTTAAATTATAAAATTATGTTTAATTTAATGTTTTATTATTTTTTTTAGTACTGCCTTAAAAAACATCGCAGTGGGTGGTACTGTAGTTTATTCAACTTGCTCTTTATCACCTATACAGAATGATGGTGTAGTTAAAATGGCCTTGAAAAAAATATGGGAAGAAACCAACCATCAAATAGTTATTAAGTTAGCTTGATCTATAAATCATAATAAAAGTATATTGTTAATATTTATTGTATTGTGTTTAGGGATTTGACAAAGCAATTTGAACCTCTCAAGTCGTTGTACTCATTGAAAAAAGGATTGAAATTTGGTCAATTAGTGGTGCCATTCCTACCTCTAAATTATGGACCATTATATTTATGCAAATTAGTCAGAGTAAGATAGTTGTTTTCATATTTATCAGTAATTTTACAAATATGTTTTAATGGTCTTAAAACATTTTGGTTTGTAAAAACAAATTATGTATATTCAAAAAATATAGAATGTATTTGAAATTGTTATTATATGTTCAATTTAATTAATTTCTTTATGAAATTGAACTGATTATTAAAGGATTTGATTTATGTTTTGTTTCTGTTTATATATAATTTAGTAATATTGATTTTTTGTTCAAATTAATTATTTTATTATTTAACCATATGATTTTTTAGTAAAATCATAGGACTATTTTATTCATACTTCTGTTTATTTTACATTAAATGTATTAACATTTACTAATTTACTTAAGACTTATCTAAAAAAATATTTGTTAAATCAATATTAAATAAAATATAAAATTACAAATAAAAACAACAATATATTTTGTATTATTTAGCAAAATAAAAAAATTAAATTAACTGCGGTAATTATATAAAATGTAATTGTTAACTAAACTATTCATTTTTTCTATCAAGATTTTACTGATTGACATAAAAATTTAATTTTTTATTTTTGATACTATTTATTACTAATTCAATAATTAAAAATTTTTATAATCAATGCTATACATTTAGAACAATTTTTTTTTAAGTTGTAGTGCAAATATATTGAAAATCAAAAATGTAATAAATATTAGCAATTTAAAACTACAGATGCATATATTATGCACAATTTTATGATATTTAATAGTAAATCTTAATTCAAGTTTTTTCACATTAAATCATTTGTATTCTCTAATCTTAATAGTCAATAAAATATTTATTTCAGTTTAAGTATTTACACATTTTATAAATACAAAGTATCGATAATAAGTTGTAATACAAACTAGCGAGTATTATTTAAAAAAATATCTCCTAAGTCCTAAGAGTGTTGGACTATTCCTTTAGCCAAAGTGGTGTTAGATGATGTAGTATCCGTGGCCAGTACCACTTTACTAGAATTATAGTGTATCCTCAATCCATATTGACCAGAATATTTCATCTTTCATATTATAAATTGCATTGTATTTATATTATTGTGTACTAGTTATTTGTTCCATACAGTTTTTGTAATCAATAGGTGTCATGACATTTTGTCATCCTAACCTAATATAATTTAAATAAATATTTGAAAAAAAAAATAATCAAGCGAAAATGTCACGTATTATATCAATGTCATTAAGGGTAGTTGCTCTTAATAATTTATAGGTAACATTAACTCGTATCATATTTAGTCATCGTACTTATCGTGCCCAAATGGTATTGATTGTAGATTTCATTTAAAAATAAAAATAAAATATATTCATTATATTGAAACCCGCGTGTTCCGTTTTTATCCCGCCACATGATTTCTAACCGAGTTTTTCGTTGATTCACGAGCGACTCCGCGCGCGCTCTAACTATAACATCGCGTTACCCATCTCGTAGGGTTCATCGATTGTCGCTGATAAGACTGTTTTAACGATAACAACTAAGTTAAATAATTTTGTTTTTATTCTTATTATTATTGTTGTTTGTTATCGTCTTCGTCGTCTTACGGTCCTTACCGTCACGGCGACGGCAATTCGGTTGTAACGAGAGGCTGAATTCCCGCCTAGCGTCCAAGAATTATGACTCGTATCTCGTAGAACGTTACGGATCGGATCAATTCGTAGTAGTAGAAGCAGCATCAGCACCACCACTGCAGCCTCTACTTCCAGGAGCAGCACCATTTCCAGCGTTACACAACCAGTAGCACTAACTCCAGAAACAGCGATGGAATACGGCACGGGCGTGGCTGTGTTTGCTGCTCCGGAGGGACGTGCCGGTGTTGTGGTTTAGCCGACAAGTCGGCACATTTAGGGATCAGCAGCAGTATCCGTCATGGCGGACGGCCTGTACACATGCCAGCAGACACGGTTCCACCGGTTCCATGGGTACAACCTCAGCCTGCACGACCAGCACACGGTGGCGCACCGTGAAATGAGCTTTGCCAACGCCATCGTGTTCAGTGAACGATCGCTGTCTCCGGGCGAGGTGTTCCTCATCGAGATTGAGAGCAGCGAGAACGGATGGTCCGGCCACATCCGGCTGGGCCTTACACAGCTTGACCCAGACGTGCTGGAGCGCACCGGCCACCTGTTGCCGCAGTGCGCCATACCTGACATGGTGGCTAATAAGTCACTGGGCGAGTCGTGGATTTGCGCACTCACCAAACATCAAGCATGGTATGACGCCAACTTCTTGACCAAGTACTTTCGCCTAGAGGGCAATCACATATTCACGTCGCGAGGCACCTTTCCCACCAGCATACTAAGAGCGTCCAACGAGGACAAGATTGACATGTTGCCAACGGACGTGGGCAGTCGAGTTGGCGTGCTATATTTGCCCTGTGGTCAGAATATGGCTATTATGCATTTCATCATCAACGGAGAGTTTATTGTGCCACTCTCTAGGACTATACCGTACAACGATAGTCCCATCAGAGCAGTGATTGACGTATACGGTGCCACTAAACGAGTGCGCATTGTTCAAGTGTACAATGGTAAGTGACTAGTTTAGTTAAAAACATGTTTTCGTTTAGTATTTAAGTGTTATACCTCCTAGTACACATCTCTTTCTAATACCTCTGTTCGATTTTGGAGTACTGAATTTGCAAATTTTACAGTGGATACATTGTTTATTTTGTATTTGTATTATCTTTTTATAAAATATAACATTCTAAAACACCATTTTTCATGTCCACCTTAGTCATTTAATTGTTATAAAATAATTTTTCAATCGATTGTACTGTACAATACAAGTGTATTGTGTATTTTAGACAATAGTTATTAAATTTTACTATTATTTGTTTTGTTTTTAGTGAACACGTTACAGAGTGCATGCAGAGAGATCATTTTGAAGAATATCAACACAGCATCTGTATCAAAATTACCATTACCAAATGCTCTAAAAGAGTATCTCCTGTACAAGACTTAATCGGTTTTTAATTTCTAGGTTTATCATAACCCTAACTTATGTTTCCAAAATATTTATTTAATTATATAATTACCATTACAAATGTCAGTGTTTACATTTTTAATTGTTTTTTTTTTTTTAATGTAATTTTTATTATGATTTTGTGTGTGAACATGTAACAAAATATGTGTATACCACGTATTAATTGTAAGCAAATTTATTCATTAATAATGTTATTTATTATAATATTCTCCCTTATTTTAAAATGAAAATTGTTTATAAATTTTAGGCCAGTATGTTTATTTTGTAACAAGGAAATACAACTTATTATTACTGCCATGTTAGTATTGTTAATAATAATTGTATCAAATTACTACACATTAAACTAAGTAATGATTGAATAGTTTGGATAAGTTTGAGACTGAAGGAACAAAAGTTTAAATAGAATTGAAGGTTTTATTTAATTGGTTAAAGCATGGCCAAGAGAGGGGGTTAGCCCTTATCACAAATTTAAAAGGTCCAGAATGTGCCTTAAAATTACAACAACAGTAATTAGTAAATTAACAACAAGACTAACAATTTTTTTATCAATTAATTGTGACTACATCAATGTTCAAGTATACTATACTTATTTTAATTAATATTAATTACAAATTATTAAATTTGAATAAAAAATGAAATTATTTTGAGGGATAGGGCTCACTAAAAGTAATAACCCCCTTATATTATGAACATGAGGACAGTTGTTGTATGGAAAGATATTGTTATCGATGATGGGAGGGTTAAGCATTTCAAAAAAATAAAATTGAAAATTAATTGTTAAATAGTCAATTATATGATCAGTGGTTAGTACCATACAACATTTTTAAAAATTGGATACATAAAAATGGCTTGTGAAAGGATATGAGGAATTATCCATATGACATCCTCTTTGGAATCATATCTAAATAATTAATATGTGTACAACTTTCAAGTATATACTTATGACAAAACATCCTTCTATGTTAACATTAAAATAATTACAAAAACTCAATTTATTTATTTTGAAGAATATGTACTTTTGTAGGAACGTTGGTAATTAGTACCTATATAATAGATTTCGACTCAAATATGGTCATTGGCGAAAATTCTAGGAGTGTTAAAGGTGTTTAGCGCCCCCAATATATTCTATGAATAAATATCATAATTCATAGTTTACTATATCATTTTTGAAACTTAAAATGCTTTAAATAATTTTTTTTATTTGCTATTTTTAGTAGTACTGGTACTGATAGTTCAACAAGTGAATTAGAACAATATATATGCCAGACTCATGGTACAGTAATTTATATTATTCTATAATTGATTCTATAACAAACCATTTAAAAAAAAAGCTTTTCTGAAGAAAGTAGTTAAATACTTATTTAGCAACAGAGAGCTTTTTAAATCTAAATCATAAAGAATAGTTAACTTTTATAAGGTAATTTACTTATTGATCTTATTTTTTAGTGAATGTTTGTGATTTATTGAATTATTTTATGTATATATTTTTAAACTTTCCATTGACAAGAATCATAGGTGTGTCCAGACTTTTTTCGCAGAGGGTACATTCCTAACCATAATAATTCTTACTAACTCAATGATAGGGTATAATACGAGAACGTCCGGTTTTTTTTAATTTGATGTATCATCGTCCCGATAAAATACCACCGTTTGTTCAAGTGAATTTATTACCTACTCGTAATTGTTAGTTATTAGTAGGTTCGTTATTACTTCCCGTCCTTACAATTTCATTTAAATTTAGATTAAGTTATGACAATATGCAATGGTAATAAGTTTACCTATAACATTACGATCTACAAGACAAGTTATTTTTTTTTTTGGGAGGAGACAGATATTATCCTTTTATTTGTCCTCTATTTTGAATTTGGTAATCTGCCAACCTTACTTAATGAGGTTGTCTGAGTATAGTTTAACCGGTATTTCATTAAATGAGTGTACTCAGGGATCATACGCAAAAAAGTAAAACAATTCTATGACTTTTTCAAAGAGACCTTTTAAATACATTTATTTATTTGCTATCTTAACGTATCCAACGAAATATTATATATGGACAACCATTATATCTTAAATCGTGATAGTGATATAGGTTAATAATTACAGGATATTCGTATTATTATATTCATATACATTAATAGATAATTATGCGGATTCACATTGGTATGGGCTTGCGGCAGTGGCCGCTTCATCTCGCAGGGATGGCTAGTGCATCGTGGACACGCCAATGATAAGAATGTATTGTTCTCTGAAATGGTTTTTGTTAAGAATGCTTACAAATCAGATAAACTAAATAAATACTTGGAATATTTAATAAAAATCATTAACAGAGATATTTATCCAAATTTATATAGGTACATAGTTTAAAGTTACATTGGTTTTGGTAATTCCTTCTTTTTCATACAAGTGCATACAAGAACATCATAGAATTGTGCTCAAACAATTTGATTTGCATTTATTTTAAAGTATAAAGTATCACATTCTTTTGATTATTTAAATTATTCCACGATATCTATGTATTTTTTAAATTAATTTCAACATATATTCAAATTAGTTAGAAAAACCATTTTAAGTGAATTTTTCATGGTAAATTCAATATGAAATGAGAGATAAATTTCCATCAGTGAAATAATTGATTTTCGTATAGATTTCAAGTTATTTTGTATCCATGTGAATTTGTATAATATACTGAATACAGGGGTGTGCATATACATTTTTTTCCGGAGGGAGGGTCAATATTTTTACTATTATGTATTTCAAATGTAATTATTTTACAGGACAATAATTTTGATACCTAATAATTAATTTTATAATACTACATAGATCATTATTTTGTGTTAGATAACTAGTAGAAAAGTATAGGGAAAAGAAGAAAAAAATTATGCATGGTGTTTATAGATTTAGAAAAGGTGTATGAAAGAGTGCAAAAAGAAGTTTTAAAGTTAACATAAATGCGATAAAGTGATAAGAATATAACCTGGAAAAAAATGTAATAAAATCTTGTCGTGCAAAATCAATGCTGTCATACACACCTGTCTATTTTAAAATAAAGAAAAGTAATTATATTAATATAATGTAAAAAATACTAATATTTATTGTTCTACCAATCTATTACAATAAATGAAAAAAAGAGGTCCCAAAAATATATATAAATTTGATTTAGGATATGTATGAAGGCTCGAGGAGACTAGTGTCAAGAGTTTGTGTGGCGAAACAGAAGATTTTAACGTAGGAGTTAATGTACATCAGGAGTTGGCTCTAAGCCCTTATTTGTTCTCTATGATAATGGATGAAGTTATAAAAGAGATACAAGTTGAGTACCATGGTGTATGATGTAGTTTTAGTAAGAGGAAATCCGGAAGAAGTTAATAATAGGTTGGATAAGTGGAGGTTAGGCCATAAAGGAAAAGGATTAAGTATTAGTAGAAATAAATTGGAGTTTATAGAGTATGACTTTAGAGGAAGTACCAAGGAGTGGAGGGGATAAGGATAACAATGACTATAAGCGGTTATGTGATAAGTAAAGTCGAAAACTTTGAAAAATTTGGATCATTTGTACAAAAATACGAGGGCTTTGGCATGGATATAAAACATTGGATTTAGTGCGGTTGGATGAAATGGAGAGAAGTTGGGCGTTTTATGTGATAAGAGATTTCCAATAAGGCTGAAAGGTAAATTTTACATAAGTGTAGTGAGACCAACTACGTTACATGATTCGAAATGTTTAGCGGTTGACAGGTGAATAGAACAGAGTATGATTGTTGCGGAAATGAACATGCTTATATGGACGAGTGGAGTGAAAAAAGAAGATAGAATAAGGAACGAATATATGACAGGTAGTATTGGTATAGCGTATTAGTGAACAAGATGAGAAAATAGACTGAGATGGTTTGGGCATGTGATGAGACGAGAGGAAAGAAAAACAGTAAGAGTGATTATGAAAATGAACGTTAAAGGAAAAATAGGAAGAGGAAGACCAAAAAAGAAATGGTTGGATACGATTGAGAATATGAGGGCGGTTTGTGTGGGTGTTAATGTAGAAAATCGAGACGAATGGAGGTTTAGGAAAAAGATAGTAAACCCTAAATAGTTGAGAAAGGCGGAGAATAAGAAGATACAACTACATATATCAATAACCCTGGCAAATTTTTATAGTATTAAACTTAAATCGTATAAAAATATTAAGCAATACTTTTCTGTCTAAATTTGTTAAAATCGGAGAGGTTAAATACCCAAAACTCCCCTATGTACGCCCCTGACTGAATTTATATGTTAATAATGTAATATATTTAAAATCTAAACTTAATTAGTCTAGAAAACTCATTTTTCTCTCTTTAATTTAAATAATTTTCCGAGAGAAGTTAGGAATATATTAAATTTACGTGTTACAATTTTTATTCTGTGATTAAATTGTTTTAACATATAAAGCAGTGTTTTTCAATCTATTAGTACTGACGACCCAAAAATTTGCTGTTTTTTGATTACGCATCCCACCAACCATAAAACAATAAAATAAAAATGTGTGATAATATAATGATTAATAATCAAAGTACTGACCTGCCTGATGGAACTGATCACTAGTCGCGACTAATAGGCTGGGGAATACTGGTATAAAGTAATAGTCAATATTATTAATAAAAACTTGAAAACAATGTTAAATTTTATATTTCTATTGGTAAATAAAATACTTAGTGATTCATGGCTTGAAAATTCAAATCAAATGTTTAGTTGGGTATAATTCATGATCAGGACTGGGGATTGAATGCATTTGCGTTTATTGAGTTCTCCCGACACACATATTTTTAAATATTTATTTTATTTTCATTGTAGAATATTTTTTAAAATCCGAAAATTAAGTTAAGTCAAATGTAATCAGTATAAATGTTTGAAATAAAGTAATATATAATTTAATTTCTCTTCTTCTTAGCCGAAAATGTCTTCTTTATTTCCTATCTTCTTTTGGATATAGCACTCCTGACATTTATCTCTAATATCAAATTTTGATTAAATTATAAGTATATAACTCACTATTTTATTTCTGATAACTACAAATCAAAGAAAAGCTAATCCAGCTCTAATTTAAAGAATCTATTAGTAAATAATTGTTCAAACTAGGGGGATTTTTTAATAGGTACATAAAATGTACCTAATAATGGTAATTTGAATTATTTTATAATGCATTGGATAATCATAGAATAATATATTTAGTATAGTAATTAAATTGAACTTTACTCAGAACTGTTTTTAAGGACAATAATGAATCATTTCTCTCAAACTTACATCAAGAATATAAAGGCGGATTTAGATGGGAAGAGTTTCTCGTACCAAGTACTTGAGAAAATCGTAACCTGTAACAACATGTACTCTAACAATATGTACGATTATCGTAACTATCATGCGAAAAACCTTTCAAAGAAATTGCTTGTTAGGTTTTAGACGAGATGAATTTCTCGTACCTAGCTTGCGAGAAACTCGCCTGATGGGGAAATCATACCTTTGATAAATTACGGGCTTCTACTCGAATGTAATAATCAGTTTGAACGGATTCATACGAGTCTCGAACGTTCAACACATATGAAAAACCGTTTTTATTAGTCAATATTTTTAGAAGAAATGATCAAACAAAATAATCTTGACAAAAAAAGGCCGTGTTTATCGCTTTCGAAAATCGCCTTGCATTCTCGAAAACAAAGTGCAAGTTTTTATCATAGTGTAATCAATCATAGTATGATTCTCGAACAGAAAATTTCGTATTCAACAATCGGATGCAAGTTTCTCGAATGCTTGGTACGAGAAACTCTCCCCGTCTAAATCAGCCTTAAGACATAATCTTGATTTTTAAAATTTCATAAACAATAGAACCCAATCTTTAGATGTATATAATAAAAGATATATTAAAATTGACTTAAAATAATACATATATAATAGTTTTTAATCATAATAATCTATTATACTAATCAAAAAACTAACCTTTAATAATATAATTAAATCTGAACATTAAACTGATCAAACATAACTTTATATGTAAATACATACAATTAATAAAAAAAAAAAAATTAAAAAAATATATATTAACTTAACTTATAGAATAACATAACAGTAAAAGAGTTGGTGCTAAAATAGTCTGATTAATTAAAATTATTGGAACCAAGGTCTGACAGGCTTTTACTAAAAAATGATCACTAATACATAATGTTTGAGTATTTAAATATTACATTTTAAATGCATGAAATAATACATCAATATCAATATTGAATTATTATTAAGCACAATTTAAAAATGAGTTGTAAAATACTTATAAATAAAATGAATTGAAAAATGGTAAATTCTAATGGAATGTTTTAATAGAAATTGAAGCTTAATTCTATAATTTACTTGTATTACTACTCTGTGATAGTTGTGTAGTCATAATATCACTATCACATGATGTAATAGAATCATTTTTTAAGTCAGTATGTTCTTTGATTTCAGAACCATAAGCTAGACATGGCTGTGCTGAATTTTGTGTATCTTTGAGTTCTTCAACGCAAGTATCAGATTCATGGCCATTATGAGATGAAACTTCCATGGATTTTGGTGGTGATATTTTAACCATTTTTTTAGTTGTTGGTAAAATATTATAAGGACGACAACGGACACTTGTAACCTTATCCTTTGGATATTTATTTCTCCTTGGACGTAGACCTTAATCATAAATAAAATTAATTTTAATAGTAAAAAAGGTATAAGTATACAATACTTGAAGTATTAGGTTTTGATTGTAGTTTTGGAGCAATTGGACATGTATATCTTCTTATTGTATTTTTTTCTGATTCAATATCGTCTTCATCAACATTATTATCAATAACATTATCATCAATATCCTCATCATTATCATATTCTTCTTTAATTTCTATTATGTCATAAGTTTAAAATATAAAATAATATACTTGTTGTATAAAATTAAAAATACAAGTATTTTATACACATTACTTGAGTGGGTATAAGGTGTTGTTTGTGGTTTTGAATCGATTGAAGAAGTATTTGTGTGTATACTTTCTTCTTCATCATCACTGTGTTTTATATCTAAATGATTTGATTAAATTAGTATTAATATTGCATAAAATATTGCATGAGTAATACTTTGTTGGCTATTGGACTGAGTATGTTCTTGTAAGGGAGGCGTACTAAGTCTTGTAACAGAAATGTTGACATTGTTTTCTTCATCAATTTCATCATCATCATCATCATCATCATCATCATCTTCACCGCCAGCACTATCTATTTTTAATTCATCATCACCTAAAAATAATACTTACATTTTATTGACTGCACATATGTCAATAAAATTTAAAATACTAAAAACGTTACTTACTCAAATCTGAATCACTAGAAGAATTATGTCTTGAAATGGAACTACTTTGTTCATTTTTTGAATTTTGATACGATGGTTCAATATATTCAAAATCAGTATTCTCCTACAGCATTTAAATTTATGTCATTAAATCATTAATTATTCAACATGAAAAATAAACTTATGACAAACAAGTAAAAACTAACACTTTCTACTTGATGTTTCATAATTATTCTAAATTCTTCATCAGAAATATCGTTGTACTTAAGTTTAATCCTAGGAGTAGCCACTAATTTCACTTGTTTGGGAAGTTGAGGTTGTTCTTTTGTATCGGCATCGATAATATCCATATCATCATCTTTAGAACTTCTAGTACCATCCCTCCTGTTCAGTTGCTAAGGTAAACAAATAATAACTATATAAGAATCTAAATATAAAAATTGTACACACAATTTATACATCAATAATATTCGTATTTGTCAACGATTCGTAAGGTTCACTGTATTCAGTATATTTGAGCAACACTTGATCGATGTCTGTACTAGCATATTGGTATAACCGATTGGATTTGTTGAAAATAATAATAGCTACTTCACAGTCACACAGCACACTCAGCTCGTAAGCTTTTTTCATGATGCCGAATTTGCGTTTGTTGAACGTCACCTAAAAAAATATTATTATTATTATTATTATAATAATTTAGATCGAACACGGAACATTTATACATACATAGCGGTTTCGGTCATCGGTGATTTTCGATATTTCGATTTTCTTCCGTCCCATGATTGTTGAAAATATGGAATAAATACTTTCCAGTAACGTGACGGGCCCAACACGGTATACTTGTGGGCAGAAAGGGAGGAGTGGAAAAACAAAAAAAAAAAAAAACGAACGATTAACAATGTTATTGCGAACAGAAAACGCAACGTGATAACAAGGTTGATTAACTGGTACGAGTTTCTCGACGATTTATTTTACGTGGTACCTATTAAGTTTTGCGGGAATCGCAAATAAATCGGGTGGGGAATATAAAAAAAAAATCGAGAAAAAATAACCGCGGGACGATCGATCGGGAATGCCGAGCCCGTTATTAATCGTTTCGGTGCGTCGTTGGACAATTAGTAAGGTTAAAACGTTCTCGCACGGAAGACGATCGTAACCATTGGACGATCGTTGGAATACCACTGCGACTGCGAAACGTTATCCCCGCTCGCGGTTCGAATACCATTGCACGATGATAGCGAGCGATTCTGCCCCGTCGCCGCCATCGACGTCCGCGCGCAACCGCGGTTACCACGAGTACAATGATGCATCACCGCGATGTAGATAAAATATTATCTACACCGTGTGCATCATCCATAATAGAGTAGTGTATTCTATTACATCTATGCGCATCACGATCGCGGGACGTCGCCGCCCCGTCCGGAGTACGGTACGAGATAGCGGCACCATTTTGGTCTCCAGGCCGTCGGCGGACACTTGCCGGTTCCGACGCGACCGAGCCTAACCGGTGTTCAAAGGGTTCCCCCGCGGCGTTCTATGGGTTAGCCTAACCAGTTGCGCGACGCGGCTCCGTCAAAAGGGCTCGCCGGAATGGCTGAACACGATAATCATCGGACGTTTTCGGGCGGCCACCTTTTCGACATTCTCGACGTCGGAAGAATTTTACCACGATCAAAGACCAATGTCGTCATCCGGTTGCAGTTGTCAACGAGAGCAATGGCACAGATGCCGAAACGACCGTCGATAAATGTAACCTACGCAATAAAAAGTACCGTTTCGCCATCTAGTGTTTAATGATTAAACACTAGATGGCGAAAACAACAATTATTGTTGTTAACTACTTCCATGCGGCAGTGAACCACGGACCATATATTTTTAGGACTCGAATATGGTGGGTACTCACGATTCCACAAGGCTATTTCTATGAAACCTATAAGAAGTCATAACACTCAAAATGGGCCACAACTCAAAAACTAAGTTCGTCCGCTCAATTCGAATTGCACCATCGTTCTCAACGGAAAATAACGCTTCCGTTCAAAAAAAAAAATGAAGAATTCGAGTGAGCGCTAAAATAGATTTATGCTATACCTTTTAGTTCATGCACCGTTGACTGTAAACACCGCGATGTAGATAAATACACGGATGTTCACAGGAATAGTTCTAAATCATTCCAATACGACTGCACTATTATCACAAAATATAATTCTTATCACGAAATAATCTTGAATTTTTACCGCATATAAAAATATACATTTTTTCCAACTTTTGAAAGCATCAACAATAATATTACGACGTAATGCACAAGGTATATAAATAATGGAAACACTACATCGTACCCGGTATCGTTTGGGTTTCTACGAAAAGTTATTACTTGAGACAAAATAATTCAAATCCTATTATGAAAGATCACTCAATGTTTGAGGCAAATTTAATTATTACTACTAATTTCTCAACATTTTTTTCTTTCAGGAGCAGATATAACATTATTGGAACTCATAGTAACTACGGTTTGATACTTGTTTTGTAGTATGGATACTTAGCTTTCTATTTTTATGTATATGATAGTCTGAATGAAAATAGCATATGCAAATTTTCATTCATAACGAGTTAAAACAGATCTACAAAAATAAAGTACAATATATCTTACTATGGGTGACTTCATCAAAGCTACAAATTACAGTAACATAGATGCACGCAATTATTACAAGATAAAAGAGACCTAATTGTATATTATGTCAGTTTTATTATTTCAATTTATAATATACTTCGTGAATAATTACTTCATTTTTTTAAACATCTATTATTTACCATGAGTACTAGTAATTAGTGTTTTTACTGTAATTCCAAGTTGGTACTCAACAATTTTTTTTTTGTTAGGAATGCAAAGAAAAAGTTTAACTGTGGTAGGACTTAATTCAAAACTGAAAATAATTTAACACATAATTTTATGTGATGGTAGTAAATTAGGTTATATTAAATGTTCTTACAAAAATTAAGAACTATCATTCAAAATATTTGACGTTTGAACTTAATATGAATATTCAAATGGTATCACTTAATTTCAATACTGTGAAAGGTAAACTAAAAAAATAATGAATTTTATTTTAACTATTAAACTATTATTTGGTTTAATAAATATTTAATGATAATTATATTATGACATATTTTTCGGTAATAAGATAAGCATTAGATTTTGTTATAATAGTGTATTGACGCCATATTGAAATAATTTGGAATATCCTTTTCGAAGATCCATTTGTTATAATATGGCATAAACATTCCTGTGTATTCCATAGCATCGATAGTGTGTTAAATTTTGTGATGCATGGTACATATTTTAATTTTTTGTCCACTAGGTAGCGCTAAGAAGGTCGATTTTCATATGCTGCTTATAGAGTTTATATATGATGGTGTACCAATTACTGAATTATTTTAATAAAAAAAATTAAAAAATACTTTACTATAGTACAGTACAGGAAAGGGTCAATTTTTCATTCATTTGTATTTCATCTAATAAATAATATACAACAATTCCTTCTTCAATAATTTATAACCATGGTTAAACCAAAAAACTAAATACATATTCCGAGAATCTAATCTCTGTCGCACATTAGTACTAATGAAGGTTCATGAACGGTCGGAAATAATGTATATACATTTTCTTAGAACCGATAAACGAAATTAGATAAGTTTGGAATATATCTTATTTCATTATACTGAACTATTGAAGTGTAATGGTTTTATATAAATTTAGAATGAGGTTTATTAAGTTACAAGTTATATGCATACTATACTTATCTAAAAGTATTTTGCACTTAGTGTGCTATTTCTCTGTAGACGTCCCAGAGTGTTAAATTTATTTGAAAAAAAAAAATTGCATGTAATATAATAAAACAATGAAACCTCTGAATAGCGGACACTCTCGGTCATCAAAATTTTGTCCGTTATTCGGAGGTGTCCGTTATTTAGAGGGGATACTTTTGAAATTTATTTATATAATAATGTAGTATGTATGTATGTATAATGTTATTACTTATTATTTATTGTAAATTATTACATTTTTATAGTTTTACAGATTATTATTAATTATTATTATTTAAGATATATTTTTACAATCAAAATCAAAATTATGTATATACATGTATTTTTAATTTATTATTGTTTGAAAAAATCGGTGAGCTTTGTTTGTTTATAACTACACCGTCTCTGTGCATTCTCATTAGTAATATCATTCGCTAATATTATAGCAGAAGTAAAAATAGAACTGCTCTTTACCTCTATTGACGAAATAAAATGACTTATGCTCTTTACAGCAGACAAAGCATCCTAAGAGTGGTAATCTTATCGTCCCATAATGAGTTTGTTATCGTAATTACATTATTACGAGAGTAAATACGAATTTGAATAAGTATTATTTTCAAATAAAGATTAAAATAATGTCCGTTATTCGGAGAGTCCGCTATTCGGAGGTTTTCCCATTGAAAAGAAGTGAAAATGTCCCCGTTCCCCAAAAAACGTCCGCTATTGGGAGGTGTCCGTTAGTGGAGGTTACACTGTAGTTAATATAAAAATTATTCCAAATAAGTGTTTTGTTCCAGTCTGTAAAACTAAGTATGCTAGTAATTGTAAAATTTTTAAATCCTAGGGGAAAAAAACCAGCAACGTTTCATCCACCAGAAGTCAATGAAAAATTATAATTGAAAATACCATTTCATTTTAGTTTTGAAGCATGATATTTAATACATTTCATAAGACTTCATAATTTTATATAGCAATAAATAATATATGAACTCTGTATTAAATGTACTATTTATTTATAATGATGTTTTTGAATTCATCAAATGAACTTTATAATATCGTTTTACAAGTTAAATGTATCATGTTAAATAATCTTTATAAATTGAAAAATTGAATAATCCAAATAATAATAAAATTTTCAGCTTGAACTCGTTATAATAAAAACTGGAAAATAACTAGAAATTGCATAAAAATATGTTAAACACAATTTTAGAAAATATAGATTCTACTAACATTGAAAACATTAACAATATTTTTGTAACATTCTATCTTATTGTAGAATGCATTTTATAAGTGCAAAGGTTGAGAAACGAGTAGCTGAGAAAAAGAATAAACGAAAACAACAAAGTTATCAAAATTAATATGAGCTTAATTTATAATGTTTAAAATTGAAAACACTGATGCAAAATAAAATTTGAAATTGTTACACTCAAAGCTTTTTAAATTTATATTTAAAATAATTTGAATTAATAATATAATCAATAAATTACGTATATTTATGTATAAAAACGTAAAGCCTCATCATTCATCATAGTCAAAAGGAAGAAAGTGTTACTGCAAGATCATAAAATGTTTAGTATGAAAATAATATGAATTTGCAGTGTGTGCTCGGGAAAAAGTGTACTTCTTTGTAACTTAGCGAGAAATGTAAAATTAATATTAATATGGTTGAACATCGTTCTTTGTTGTAATTGTAATGTTGATTACGACTCCACGAACTCACTGTCATATGCATTACTTTGCATGACTGAAGGATATTCCATAGTCCTAAAATAATTTTAAAGTATATTAGAAATTTTAATTGTATTATTTTCACAGTAAAAAAAGCCTTAAATTAATTTTAATAATAATTGTCAAGAATAAAATATGAAAAATATTTAACTAATATTTAATAAATTAATAATTGTGATATACGAATCCTGAGAGGCGACAAGATCATTCCACGGGTAATTGGAACATATTCCAGGAAGCCATTAAATTGGCCGACAAAAACACGATAGGAGAGTTAAAAAATTAAACGAAACAATGGTATAATAGAACATGTAAGAACGCAGTTATAAAACGGAACAAAGCAAGACTAAATTACCTCAGATTCCAAACGCAAGTGGCAAAAGAAATCTTTGAACATGAGCAAAGGAAGTGTAAAGGCATTATATATATATAAAAAAAAAATAAGATCATATATGAACGATATGCTACACTGAGCAAGATTACTCACGAGGAAAAATTAGACAATTTTTCATAAGATCAAAGATACAAGACATTTAACCCAAGTCTGAGAGCTATTAGGGATAGGGAAAATAAGAAATTATAATGGACCCTCAAGAGAAGGCAACTAGATGGCGCGAGTATTTTGAAGAACTGCTAAACAGCGAATTACCAGAAGTATCAATACCGGAGTGAGCTGGCCATACGGCTGATTTAAGAGTGGAGG